AAGGATTTTCATTTTCAAGTGGTCATTTATATAACATTCAACAACAAAATGAGTTTCAAGGAAGAATCAATTTTGGGTAAATTTGTTTGACTTTAAGGTGCTGGAGAAGAGACAATAATTAACTACTTAGGGGGAAAAGTTGCAATGGGTGGAAACTATTGCGTGAACTGGGCAGGCCATAATATGCTCATATGCAGCTCAGTTTTTCAGGGTTGGCTCCTTTATCTTTATTGGGCTAAATCTATTTCTATGTATTAAATAGCAATCTTAACAGGTTTTCCTCCTTCCGATCAGTAGGTTTTGGTGGTTGCTCTGCTAAACAATGGCAGTAGAATATGATTGTCATTTTTGACTCTTGATGACTGCATGGACAAGTCAATGCAGTCTTGCAATTTTGTTATTTTATGAACATTATGTTTTCAGAAGGGGGTTGCACTACTTTCTTCCTAATACTGAGAGGGAGGGCCTGTCTTAAAGTCACCCAGCTGACTTCATGATTAAGGCTGGATCAGAACTCATGATATCTCAGCTTTTTAGTTCACTGCCTTTAACCACCAGATCAATCTGGCCATTACCAGGGTTGTTTTTTTTTAAAAAAATCCACCATTCCACACTCACCAAATATTATACTGCAAGAGTATTAAGTTTAGACTTTCAATTTTGCAGCCTTTCTGGCTAATATTCTCTAGAACAGTCTTCTGGGAGTGATGTTGGCACCTCTTGAAAGGGCAATTCCATGAAGGAGTGTGTGAAATTATTGATACAAATTCTATTGACCATCTTACTCTACCAGGTTGTTTCTTCAGCCTCCTTTGTGAAAAATGCAAATCTTTATAAATTGTGAACTCTTCCCTAATCTCAGTCTCTTGCTAAATAAGCATTGTGTGCCCCCTCGCCATATCTTTCATTTTTGCAATATAAAGGCTGAATGTAAAATCTTTTTCATCAATTAAAATTATTTATTAGTGTATGAGATTAAGAGATTGCAATGTCTTACCACAGCAAGCATGGAATCTTTCTCCACAAGTGCCTACCAATTTATGAGAACAGGCTAGCCTGCAATTTCAAGGTAAAATGTTTAAACGAAGGCTAAAATATATGCTTCAATGAGCTTTTGCTGCTGCCATTGAAACAAAAAAAAAAAAAAGGAAGCAGAGAAAAACCAGACAAGTGCTTCTTTACAAAAGAATTTTATTGTTGCAGCTAAAATGAGAACTGAAAATTTGTATGGGAAGTTGAAAAACTGTACATTTTTACTGAAACTGTAAGGTCATTGCAGCGTCTTACATAAGAGACAATATACCTGAAAACGTATTATACCAAAACATTTAGCTTGTTTTTATTTTATTTTATTTCTTTTTCTTAAAAAAGTCTTCTATGGCAATTGGTAAAAAAAAAGAAAGACCTGATGAGTAAATATTTTGCTTAAGGCATATAGCAGAGCAGCTCACTAACTTTCTAACGAGTTTAAACATGGATATTTCTTTTCCTTCCCCCTCCCTAACCCCGCCCGAGAATAGGTTAACCAATACATCCACTTTGAAATGCTACTGTATATACACACCCCAAACTACTACATTACATGTACAAGGACATCAAAACAAAATGCTTACAGTTCAGCATGACAAGCCGTATCCACACCTCGCTGAGCTCTATCGGGGCTTTCTACTGTATTTCTTACAGCACTTCTATTCCACCCTTCTTATGCTGGTCTATGACCATAAAAAATATTTGATTGGATACAGCACTTCTTTTGTTCAAAATTATCAAGGCAAATAGTGATGCTGGCAGACTGGAGAGGAACATGGTAATCAGAAGGAGATTTCTTGGCTGTCTTGGGACAACAACAAAAAAGAAATTTAGTTCTCCCTGACAGATTAAAATATAGTACAATCACGTTGCTGTGGAGATACATTCTGAAGTTGACCATGTCGTTGTGGAAGAGATAATACAATTCTTTCATCAAAGAATTGTTTTTTTTTAAAAAAAAAAACAAAACCAAAATCCCTTTATTTATTTTTAATGAAAAGAACAGATTTTCAATTCTAGTTTTATTCCAGCGATCAATGTAAATAACTGTTTCCTTCAGACTATCAGAAGACAATTTAATGTATCTTGGCATAGGGACGTCTCTGGGGAATAAAAATGGTTAAGATGGTACCTGCATCCATATGGTTGAACCTCCCTCCCTTTTTTATATGTGTCACACACATCAAAAGGGGGTTGGGCCTTCAATTGGTTGTGGCTGCCATCTTGACATTTTTGACCCATCTTGCTGAATGCCCCTGTCTTGGCACTTCACATTTCAGCAATTTGCCATAGAAAACTAGGGTGCGTGTGTGAGAGAGGGAGAGGTGTGAATATGGCTTTGTACACACTCTGGAATGTTTGTACTATAGTTACTTGATTGAAATGAGTGCTATACAACTGGTTTAGATGGTGTACATAGAAAAACTGCCAAATAATAGGCAAGATATAGGCAACCAGGCTTCTTTTTAAAGAGAACATACACACCTACCAATCTTTGAGCTGAATGAAAACACTTCAGCGACACCCTTGGAATCACAGCCATTTAAATAATCAGATCATGCAAGTATAATTGGGCACATCAGAAAGCAGAAATATAAAAATTATGTTCACCCTTTAAGCACATGGATTTCAATCAGGACACTTTTTAGGAGACTTTATACATGCATTTGAATAAAAATGTGATACAAATGCGTCTGAATAATATTCTACTGGATGACGGAACGTGGAAGGGACAAAGCAATCACATATTGAGTAGTAAAATACATAGATGAGCTATTATATATTATGCCATTTTCTATAGTCATGTCAATATTTTCATGTTTCCAATATTATTACTTAGTATTGACTGCTTAACAAAATTCCTCTTTCTTACAGGTAAGGCTGTAAGTTTTCCAGGACTACCTATGAATGTGTTATTGTCATTTTGAAAAAAAACCTTGATACTAGCCTCATTTTGAAATTGTTCTTTCAACTCCACCTTTTCTTCCATTCCCCTTCTCCAAGACCTTTCTTTAACATCTCATTTGCTTAAAGAAGAAAAAGCTAACTTTGGTCAGAATTGAGGAGTAAAATAAATATGGAGTGAGAACCCTGATACATGACAGATTTTTAAAAAGAGATGACAGTTAAGTGCTATATAGGTAGAATATAGAATTTCCAAATAACTTGCACTGTAGATTGGGTGTCATTTTGTCAATGGAACAGCTGCAACTTCAGTACTCTTTCTCCGCTGTACAAGGTTCCCTTTTGTTATTTATATTGCTTATAAAGAGTGGAAGGGGGGGGGGGGATTATCAACTTCAGCATACTACCCCAGTTGTAACATTTATGAACAATATTTATGATTGGTCAATTTTTACTCTTTTCTTAGCAGCTATAGTCAATCAAGCTTAGCTGTACCTAAAATAATAAAATAAAATACAAACAAATTCTCTCTTCAACTTCATATGGAACAAAGGATTTGTTCTGAGTTAGGGTACAAACCTCTTCTTCAGCAGAAGTAGAAAGCTCACGGATAAAGCAACCAATCTTTACACATCTGAATTAACAGTCAGAACTATGGAGTTCATTCAAGGATGCGTAAGATTGCAGCCTTAAACTTGGCTCCTAAACAGCATGATCTTTAAGCCAAATAAAAACTAATCTTGGAATCTTTGTTCTAAAAACAACACTGAAAATCATCAACACAGTGGTTTATAACATGAAAAGATTGAGAGAAGAGCTGGCCCAGCACTGAGGTTTTGCTGAGAAACACTGCACTGGATCTTTAGCCTAAGGAGGGTTGCGTGTGTGTTAAGAGAGTGACGATGATGATTTTAAAATGGTTCCTCTTCTATTCTGTATACGGCATAGGACATTCTTCACATGGTAAGTCTAGAATGAGATCGCATTTTACATTCCATAGACTGACAAAGCTTACACACTGCTCCTTTTCTAAAGCAAGTATCTGATATAAATGCTGGTGGACATTCTGCTTACATTTCCCTTCCCCTTCTCCATGAGGATAGGAAACTATATACAAAGTCAAAATATTTTTTTAGGAAGTTGATCGTGCAATACAATGGGCATGTACACGGAAATAAAAGAGTGCAAGAGATGATTGACAACATAGCAATGAGCACTGATGGTGAGCGGGGAGAGAAATCACTCATTTTGTCCAAAAAGGAGGGAGAATATTGTAGCATTGACCTGTTGGGATGCCCTGAGAAAAAGTGGTGCCCGTTTATAGCATGTTACTGAAGCAAGAACCTACTTGAGAAAAATAAAATAGATCCCATATTATTTGCACTGCCAAAAAACTCAGGGTGCAATCCAATTGAGTGTGTCCAGTCTCCATTCATTCACTGGAGCTCCTGAGCAACATCAAAATCTAATAAGAGGCTATGCACAAGTGGTTCTTTAGACTGAGCCATCAGTCCCTAGAAAGGCAAAGAGTGAAAAGCTCCCTCTCTCTCTCAAAAAAGCTGTACATTCTTCAGGGGTGTGCATCTGTGTATACAGTGGTTGTTGAAAGGAATACGATCATGTATCATGCTTGGAGAACATAGGCAATTTTCACTTGTGCCTAGTTCCTTTTTTTCTGAAAAACCACCAAAAGAACAACAAAAGTACCCCCCGCCCCTCCCGGCTTTAAAATATTTAAAAAAAAACAGCAATGTGTTGTAAACTCTTATTATTCCATTTTAAAAAATAAGGAAAAAATGAAAAACACAAGACTTATTTGGCATATTCTCTGCTTACTCCTGAATATCTTAAGGCCCTGAGATTAGAATGTTCTTGGGACCTAGGGCTAAATCCTAAACCCTAGTGCATCGACTTTCTCTTTAAACCCTAACCAAAGTTCCAACTTCTCTAACATACCATACTTTCCACTTGGATAAGGCTTAGTTGCCCTTTCAGCTTTCTTGTACAGAAACAAATGAAACATCACGGATATTACTGGTATTCTGATACCACCAGTGTGATGTCCATCAATGAAAATACACTCTGTAACAGAGGTATGCACCCGCTGTCAGAACAGTGAACATGCAGATGTTGACCAGGAATGGTTTCCAAGTTGTCATCACGCTCTCTTCATCCTCTTCTTCTGGCTTCAAAATTTCATCATTGCACGGTGAAGCATCAACAGTTCTCTTCCTAAGCGTAATATCTGGACTGGTGCTGCAGGACAACAAACATGCTGAGATTAGAATTCTTTGGTGCGTGGTGTGATTAGTGAGGCTTAATTTGAAAAGTAAATGAACTTTCCCCAGCATGATTCCAATACTGCAGTTCTGTCATTTAATTAATTAAATGACTTCTGAATAAGAATAGCTAAATTAAAACAGGAAATATTAAGATATGGGTCCTGTAGATATAAAAAGCAATAGTGACATCTAGTGTTAAAATACACTTCATTTCCCCTTTATGTTTCCAATAACCATCTCACTCAATTTCTGGATAAAGTTTTCATAAATGGAGCTGGAATCACCCCTAAATTTCCTCTGAAGTGGCAAGGTGCTTCTCTGAAATTTTTGCAACTTTCTTAAAGGATCTGAAGTAGAACCATACACGACCGTTAGTTCCATAATTATTTTTTTATATAACCTCCTTTCCCCAAGAGTAATAAACTTACATGAAATGTATAGTTTCATCCTGACAATATTTAAGTCCAATTAAGAATGTTTCATTCCATTGAGAAATTTTAAATAAAACACTCTCGTTCATTTTCAGCCATTGCAAAAAGTAAATAACTTAAATATTCTCAAACTATAAGACAAGTCATTCTTCTTCAAACTCATATGCTAATGTTATTATCATGGAATTTCTTTTAGCAATGTTACTTCAGAAGGCAAATAAGGAACATATTAGCTTCTTTCAGAACTACTCTTTGACTTATAAAAATCATATTTTATTGTTCTTCATTATGTTACTAAAGTAGCTCAGTAGGATAGCTTTTAACTCAGAAATGGCAATATTATATTGTCCATACTGAATTCAATTTAAAACATTTCAATTTAAAGCATTTAAGGGCTTCTTTTTTTCAGAAGATAATGCAACTTGAGAAAAAATGATTCAACTTTCAAATGTCTATTTTTATTTTATATGCTGACATATGTCATTATACGAAAGAGAATTATATTTTCAGTGTACTTTACTGAACACATTGGGAAAAATAGAGGAGGAGGCCATAAACTGGTGGAAACACACTATAAGTGGAGACAATTTGCTGAGAATCTACAAGAAATATTTATAGTATTCCTTGGCAACATTACCTCTCTATAACCTGCTGCTCAGAGGAACAAGCTCTGCCATCCAGAACACTGGCTTCCAAAGCGCTGGCAGCATACTTGATTTCTTCCTCAGCCCTTGGATGCTTTGATAAAACTTCCATATCACCATGCACCCTTCCATTATTCATTTCAGAGGTTCTTTTGGGTGGCCTTGGAGGTGGAGGAGTATGTTCTGGTGGTGGATCCAAATCTTCATTAGAGAGTTCTTTCCATTGCTCCTTCAACATGAAGAAGGAATTGATTAACTTCTCCAAAATGATCATTAATTCCACCAATCCCTGAATATTTTCCTGGATATATAGGAACCTAATATTTATGGAGACACTAAGCTGGATATATATGGTGGTGCAGGGGTTAGAATGCAGTATTACAGACTAATTCTGTCAACTGCCAGCAGTTCGATCCTGGTGGGGTTCAAGGTTGACTCAGCTTTGTCTATCCAAGGTCAGTAAAATGAGGATCCAAACTGTTGGGGGCAATATGTTGATATTTGTATATCTTAGAGAGGGCTGTAAAGCACTATGAAGAGGTATATAAGCCTTGCTTATATTGCTATTACTATATTTTTGAAAACATTGTAGTTTGTTATATTTAATATATATGAGAAACTTTCTTATGGAAAGCACATGCTTCAGAGAAACCTCTCCTTCCTTTGTCTTCCTATATACAAAATATGGACAGGAAGTGGGAAGAAAGGGCACAATAAATGTTACTGTTATTATTGCTTTATGCTGTTTTGGAGGGCTATGATTCTGCTTTGTGTTTTGTAGTTTTAAATGTAAGCCTTCCAGAGTTGTTGGGAGTCAGACAACCTATAAATTGCATAGAAAAAAACCCTAACAAATGAAGAATTGGGCCATGTTTTGTCCTATCTTTGTAACAATGGTTCCCTGCATTTGTAAATTGTGAACAAGGAATTGCCTTTCTAATCAGAATCTCACATGGCATTTCATATAATCCTAAACGAGTTCTTCACTGCAGTGGCTGCTCATTCTTGACCAAGCACTTCCTCGTTCTACTACAAAAATATGCCACCATTTGTCATTCATGTCCTGCCACTTTCTACAGAAGATAAATTGACCAATTTCCATGAAAATAAATAAATAAACATCAAATCTGATCAATGTTCAAAGTGGGCATCAGGAAGAATATTTCAATCTCCAGGGAGAACCCACCATAACATTTTTTAAAACAAAGGACTGTGATTCAGATTTCAATGTGAAACAGCTAAGTATTAAGAGGTTCAAACAACTTCCTATGGCACAAACAGGATAATAACTTCTTGCCGTTCTACAACTGTTAATCATATCACTAGTGGAAAAGTATTTCTCATATGCTAATTATGAATGTCATAATCATAACTAACTGATCATGAATCTGAGGAAAACTATTGTAATTCCAACAAATATGTCATAATAAACTCTGTTTTATATCTTAATCTACATGTCTGTCCGTCCATCCATCCATCCATCCATCCATCCATCCATCTATCTACCTACCTACCTACCTACATCTATCTATTTATTTATCTATCTCTACCTACCTATCATCTATCACCTTTGAAAATACCAAAAGGCTTTATATTATTTGCTTTGTTTATTAGTAATGTTGACTAGCATGCAAAAAAAAAAAAAGAGAGATCATGATCACTCCTTTTTAATACATATCACTGCATTGGAATTCTTCTATATACTAAAACCTAAGACTGACTGTAAAGAATGATTGAAATTGAAGACAATATGTACTGCACTCACTTGTACCGAAGAATCGCCCATAATAAATTTGGCTCCTTCTGTAACAGCCAAGTATGAGAAGCGAAGTTGGTCTGCTGTTTGTATAAGCCCCATTCGATAGTTCCTCATTTCTAAAAGAACCTGTTTAATGTCGACAGAAGAAGGATCTTTCCTTTTGTCCATCTGCACAAAGAGAGGTGACACTCATTAAACTATCTTACCATGTTCCCCAGAATTCACAGGGTTTTAAAAAATGAAACAACACAGATGATGTAAAAAATTCATCTATCAACAAAAATGTTCATGAATGCAGGAACAATGAGAAATCAGCACTTATGCACCAAACCAGAAAAATAATTCTTGAGAATAATCACATGCAACTCAACAAGAATTTGATCCCATAAAAGCAGTACAGTACTACAAATTTTCATTTGCAGAGCAACACTGATATTAAGAGTAGTCAAGTCTGCTAAAATGACAAGATTTTCAATAAAAACACAAAGACAGCACATTATATTACAGCTGAATTTCTGTGAACTTCACCCCATAATAATATAATCTTAAGGGGGCTCAAAGAATCTTATTTCTTACCACAACATATTAAAAATGACTATCGCTGTGAAAATGCTTGCAGCTATCATGCTTAGTTCCAATACCCAACAATAGATAAGGAATTGCAATACCTCAAGCCCCTTAGAAACAGTCAGTTTTATTTGCTATCTTTTATATCAGCCCAGAAGTGAGTTCTACATCTGTAAATCACATTTCAGAATTTATAACTTCACAATAAAATGTTCTTAAAATAAAGTCTATTACTTTTAGACTAAAATATTTTATAGCAATGGTGGTTTCTAAGTAAGTAGGTAGGTAATTATAGATAGATAAGAGGTAGATAGACAGAGATAGATTGATAGATAGAATATTTGATTTATTTATCAAATGTGTATGCTGTCCATCTGGGCAAAGGAAACTCAATATTAGCTCTACGATAGAAGACAGATAGATAGAATGAGATACAGCAATGAAAAGATGATAAATTATCATAGTTTTTCTGGTATCAACTCAAATCTGTTTTGGGCAACATGAATGTTAGAGATTCAGCAACTGAGCCTTATACCAATTTTGAGATTCTAATATTTAGTTACTTAGAAGAACCCAAGGAAGCAATCTCAAAAATTATATAGGTTGTTATCGCAATTAATAGTAGGAGATCCACCTCAAGATTTAAAGAAAGCTTGAGATACCAATCTTGGTAAATCCATACAAGAGATAAATTGCAGAATTATAGAAATCCACCTCAGCTTCAGTCCAAGAACTGCAGTGAAACATTATGTACCGATGGCACTTGACCTCAGTTAGATTGGCACTTATCTATCAGAATTATCTTTGCCAATGTTGGAGAGATTGTCAAAAAAGATAGCTTTTCTTATCTCTGTGAAGGTCATGTTTGATATAAAATTTCTGATAGATAAGTATCAGTGCTAAATAAAGAATTGAAAATTCCCCAGTTAGCCCTCTCCCAAGTCCAAGTTGTGGTGTGTGTGTGTGTGTGTGTGTGTGTTTCAGGAAGAGATGAGTGAAGAACACTGAAAGTGTTTGCCAAGAATATATATTCCCGGCAGGGTCACCCAGCAAAAGCAAGCAGACAGCGATTAAGGAAGATACTGGAGGCAGATCCACATTTTCATGACAATGCCAAAAGCATCAATTCACACTGAGTGGGAGAAGGCAATGATAAACCACTCCTGTAAATTTTTATCAAGAAAATCACATGGATGTCAGATGTGTTTGTTATTTATTTATTTACTTATTCAACTTGTATGCCATGATGCTAGGCATCTTACAATCATTAAAACCAATAAAAAACTATAAAACATCAAATAATAAAATTAGCAACACTACAGATAAGATTATAGCAGAGAAATAATGCTGTTTCACCACGTTTACCAGCATGTAAAAGGTAAAGCTTCCCCTTGCACATACATGCTAGTCGTTTCCGGCTCTAGGGGGCAGTGCTCATCTCCGTTACAAAGCCAAAGAGCCAGTGCTGTCCGAAGACATTTCTGTGGTCATGTGGCCAGCATAACTAAACACCGAAGGCGCACGGAACCCTGTTACCTTCCCACCAAAGTGGTCCCTATTTTTCTACTTGCATTATTACATCCTTTCGAACTGCTAGGTTGGCAGATGCTGGGACAAGTAACAGGAATTCATTCCGTTATGCAGTGCTAAGGATTCAGATCGACAAGCTCAGCGTCTTAGCCACTGAGCAACCGCATCCCTTATGAGATAGGCTTTAATAGGAGCTCGAAGTCATGTCCACTTGGATTCATCCCTCATTTTCCTCCAGGGGGCACTCTATGCATCTTTTAGCCCTCGTAACCCACAGCTCCTCTCTGAACCATGGGGAGTAACTGGAGCGGTGGGTCAAAAGAGGCGCAATCCTATCCAAAGCTTTGGCTGCACTTTGGTTCCAGGACATAACCAGAGTCTCAGCAGTACCATGCAGTAAATCTGCTGGGAGATCCCCAAGTTCCCTCTGGAATCCTTTTTGGTTCATCACTCTGACATTTTAGTCGATTTTAAAAAAAACAAAACATTTTCCATTATCTTTTTTAAAGATATCTTGACTTTATGCTATTTTAGTTACTTGATAATGTAAAAAAAGTAGAACTAGTGACCAAACGTAGGGAGGGGGGAACATTAAAGGAATACAGTGCAGGAATGTACAACTTAATTACACCACCTCTGCCTCTCTCCAAAGCACTGAAAGCATAATCCTTATTACTTCTGCTAATACTATTTCAGCCGTGCCGTTTAGTCACATCCTACAATAAACCACAAAATGGTTATTTGTAAACCCGGCCCACCAAGATGTACTAAGTAAATCATGCTTAAGCAAATAATGGCTTCATGCAACCTGTGAACCTAGCTAAGTTCATCCCTAGAGCCACAAGGATTAGAAATTAGAAATTTACTAAGGGACGGGCAAAAATAAAAGAATGCTATACTTTCTAGGATACAAAGATCCAAAGTCCCTGCTTTTAGACATATAAATCATATCAGCATGGAGTACATTTTGATCAGAAATGCATCCAAGGAATGTATTGGGCAGCATGCAACTGTGGCAATCCTAATTACACTTATCCTAAAAGCTATTGAGTAAGCATCACTGAACACAATGGATCTTACATTAAAGTAAACATGCTTAGCATTGTAATTCTTTGTAAGGGTTGTTGCTGATATGTTTGTTTTTTCCCCAAAAGTTGCAGGATGTACTTCCAAATATGTCCTACAGGCTTAGGATAGCATGGATTTCCCACCAGGCTTTTAAATAGACTGGTATTGACATGTAGGAAGGCACTGAAGAGAGTCCTGGAGAGCTGCTCATGAATTATTTGAAAGCAACTTAAAAGTTAAGGCAACAAAAATTAAAAAGGATAATGTCAAGCATTGCCTGAATCAAGAGAAACACTGTTATTGGAACAAGAAAGGAGCAGGGTTGGGAAAGAATGGGTGGTAAGAATTGACGAACAGAAATTTATTTAATATTCTGCTGGTGCTCAGCTTTGATGTCAAAACACAGCATTGAAAATGGGATTTGCTGTACTTCTCTGAAAAGATTTATGGGAAAACTTCAACAACAGTGGTTTTTGTGTCCCTCCCTCCTGCTGTGGCCTCTTCTTCAAGGTCAAAACTGAAAAGAATCTGGGATATTGTTTCACTTATGGGCCTCCATATCAGTTCCTACTCCAGTCAGCAGCCTTTACTGCAGAAGCATAATGATCAAAACAAAAGCACATCGCAAAAGTCCCTGAAAGGTATTTTGCCCTGAGCCCAGCTGAACCAACCATATAACCAGCCCAAATTCCTGTTTTGCCTATCAGCCATTCTTACCAAGACAAGACAAGTATCAACCAGACAAAAAGTTCCTGATCTTCCAATTCCAGCACTGCAATGCACCACAATGGGACCATGCTGAGGACTCAGGGACCCCGATTCTCTCACTTTGAACAGGAAGTTGAGGAATGAAGCTGGAGATTCTGGGACTCCAAAGTCAGGCCACGTCGTGTAATGAAAATGCAGAATTTCTCGCGTTTCGTGTGTCTGTAAAGTGTGAAGTAAATTAATAAATAAAAGATGAAAAATGGACTTCTCTTGCAAGTTGGAAGTGGGAAGCATCTTGTTAAGCTTTGGATAATGCCTAACAAATGCAAAGTTGCAGGAAGTAACAGCAGGATGGTGATAATGCCATTCCCAACAGACATCACAGAATAATAATCCTTGAAATGAGCAATATTCAAAACTAGAATGAAATACTATCCGAAATCAAAACTTAAGACTTTTTATCAACTATGGAAATTCTTGAAGCATTGATGCTAAACATAACCCGTTTTAATAAAGAGAATCAGTGCTGCAAAATACAGCACACTGATTAATTTTCATCATACTTACTATGAGGTTCTTCAGTTCTAATAGTCGGACTGTATAATAGGATTTTACATCTTCTGATATTAAGGTCAATGTGAAGTTTGTATCTTCAAAGAACATTTCTTTCTCCTCTTTTTGTGGCCAATACTGTGCACATTTTATCTGAAGGGTAGAAAGTAAAAGAAGAGTTATATGAAAATTATTTCACAGAATGAATACAGCTAAACATAAATACACTCACCAAATCATCAATATATATGACAGCCAAGAGAACACCATTGTAAGATTATACTTTCAATCTGTATAGCTCTGCACAGATGGGTACATTTATATGTATGTTCATTCAGACATATGTAGAAAGAAACTGAGATGTAACTGTTTAAACCAGGAGTCCTCAAACTTGGCAACTTTAAGACTTGTGGACTTCAACTCTCAGCTATGCTGGCTGGAGAATTCTGGGAGTTCAAGTCCACAAGTCTTAAAGTTGCCAAGTTTGGAGACCTCTGGTTTAAACTCAAGAAAAATTCAAATAATTTTTCCTTAAGACACTGCAACTACTTAGCACACCACTGCTATCTCAATAATTTGGCTTGACAATAGATTCTGAATTTCTGGATCTACTTTGGGATTACGGAATATGTCACTAAGAAACATGACAAGGCAACAAAATTATCCAAGTGATTGAAGGGACAGTCCTTAGAGAATAGTTGGATGTTCACCTGGACAACCCCAGGCACAGAGTTTTAATTGCAATTCAAATGAAAGAATTGCAGTAAAGACAGCCAGCATACCTCATACCTGGTTTCAAAAATCACCCTCTATGAAGTAATTTTGATGGCATATGGGATAGCTTAAAGACTACAATAGTTTATTGTAAATGAAGTCTGAGTTGCTCATTATCTAAGCTTTTGACTAATCACACCAATTTTGAAAGAAATTATCTTCCAGGAAATCCAAGAAATGCATCATTAGGATATGTACATGCTAGAAATATCTATCTAATCCTGGAAGATAGGGAGTTTTATTAGAAAATTCTGGAATTAAGTTGCACTAAGTAACATACAAGTTGGTCGCAAAAAATACGCCCTTGCTAAATGTTATTCTGCAGAAGACAAAATAATTTCTCTGGCTAGGATTATAACTCAGCAGGAGTTAAGAAGGAAATGTTCACTGTTCATGGATTTTTAGTGTTCTATTTTCAGAGTAAGAACCTTATGCTTTCTTCCTTTGTTTCTATCAAGTAACAAAGACATTAATTATTATACTCATTAAATACCAATGAAAAATAATTAAGCGTGGGATGATTATACTGAAGGTCTTTTATGGAACAGAATCAAATGGAATTCACAAAAGAAATGCTTTCAAGAAGTTGATTCATTATTAGAGAGAACAACGTTTTTCTTCCTTTCAACCTGAACAACACGATTCAGCTGGATATAGTAGAAAATTATAACCGCCTGTGAACTTATTTTTCCTTACAACAACATATAAGAGAATTCACTGCATGTATGATTTTTTTTGTACCTCATGGTGACAAATAATGATTCCTATACATTGAATGTCCCACACAACCATTTGTTTAGTGGCATTGGAAGCCTGTTCCAAAGAGTTCTCTATAATTTCACACTTATTTTCAATAGTTCCAAATTATCAGTAATAGTGAAAAGTACATAAAGATAATTGAGCCAATGCTAAAGTCAGAGCACTTTTCTTTTAGGTCTGTTTCACTACTTGTATTACTAAAGAAAGGACCAGTTTATCTGAGGGACCGTCTCTTGCTGGTGACAACCCCCCCCCCCCCCGAGCCACTAAAGCAGGGAAGGCAAGGAATGCTGCAGGTCCTGTCCCCTAAGGAGATACATCTGGCAGGGCCTTCTCCATGGTGGCTCCCTCCTTTCGGAACAACATCCCTGCAGAAACTAGACTGACCTCCACTTTGACAGTGTTTTATAAGGCCCTGAAGTTTTGCCCATCAAATGGCTTATTTGTGTGTTGTTGCTGGGGCTGGGTGGGTGATTATTTTTTTATATATACAATCATGACCAGAGATTCTACTGTATCTTGTGTTTTTATTGTTTGTAAACTGCCTAGAGTTCACTGTAAGTAGTGAACTAAGTAGTGAACACTGTAAGTAGTGAAATATTGGGGGGGAGGGGGGGGGGGAGATACAGTTAGTTTAGGGGACTACAAACTACAAAGTTAACCAAACATGGTCTACCATTATCTGGCTTTTCTGCAAATGTCTTGAACAATTTTCAGACTGTTTAGGAATTATTTAATCAGCCATTTGCATTGTGATACTAATACCTGAGATACAAAATTCCATTATGCAATAAACAATGAGCATATAAAATGTATTTAATCTTGAACTATTTTTGTTTCTTTAGAAAGATTATCTATAGGCAGACATTCAACATAAAAAATTATGGGGAGATAATGACTAGGAAAAGGAATATGAAGAAAATTATCATCAGCTATGCAATACACCTTCTGAAATAATATATTTCCAAGGAAGCATTTTCCTTATCAACTTAAAGAATCTTTGCATGCCTGTACATAGCAAATATTTTCTAGGCATGTTATTTGCTGCATGGTCATTTCAGGCACAGGCCAGATAACCTACAACATTGTCAACATTTTCAATTATTAAGTCTTGCAGTGAGAAGAGAGGCATTTCAGAACAGAAGATAAATTGTCTTTAAGAACAAAGAAAGTTGCCATATAATGTCAATTTTTACTTTGCCTCCTTCAACATAGTCTATTGCACATTAATTGGTAGTGGGTCTTCTGTAATTTCAGATGGCTCTTCTACTTTAGGACAGTTAGGGATTGAATAGCTGCTTTCATTATTACTGTTCTTATTGAAGGTTTTTGGAATAAGCGTTTGAGAAATCCAGCATTTCTTGGATTTATGACATTGAGAACTATTGCTCCACATAGTATTTACTTCTACTTGAAGTAAGCTTTCATACAGACCTAAAAAGAGTCTATCGAAAACACATGCTACTGAGAACTTCTAGTGCCAAGTACCATCAAATTGCAGATATTGGCTTCCATACTAAAAAGTAGAAGGTGAACATTCTTGGCTTGAAATCTCCTTCCCCAAGAGGTTCTACCACAACTGTTATAAACATTAAAATAAAGCTCCTGAAAGAGGATGAACTATGTCAAATAATTCTTTGTAAGGTCTTTAGGATCTTGATTTTCATTACATAATGAAAGGAGACTGTAAAAGATCTAGTTCAGTTTGTAGCATCCTATTTACACTAGTCAGTACAAAACATATTTCAAGTGACTAGAAAAGCAGAAACGATGCCTCAATATGAAAATCAATTCGATCAAACACTTCTTTGCTGGCACAAAGCAATAATGTTTAGGTACATTTACATGAGCTAAAATAAACACATGCAAATAGTGATTCTGGGGAAGGGCTTAAAATATAGTATTTGCTGGAAATTTGGTGCTGGTGATTAAGAAAGTTTTTTTTTAATGCTGCACTGAATTTCCAGGCTGCTTTGCTTAAAAAAAAAACATACACCAAGGCTATTAGACATGGCAAACTTAAGTTCTGAACTTGAAAGATACCATTGTATTTTCATTCTGCTTAAACAACACTTCTTTTACTTTAGAAAAATGCTTTGTGGGGTGATTTTTTTTAATTTTTGCTAGATTAAAAACCTTAGACCATTTTTACTAGATTTCTAAAATGTACATGAATTATGTACCCATGATCCCAAAGGAGTTAAAATTATATATACTTACTGATCCCTTTTCCATCACTCTGTTCAGCATGACAACTCCGCGGCTTTTCTGTTCCCAAATCATCTCCCAAAAGTGACCACAAGTATTTGGAAGTGGACCCTGAAAAAGATACTGAACTTTCAAGAAAGAGCAGTATTCATAGGGCACAAATTTCTGAAAACTATGATCAAACAAAACTTATTTAATTATTCTAAATATGACACCATGTGGCTTCCATTTCTAGGTATGTAAAATCTGGCATCCAGATTGGGGCAATTTAGAAGCAACAACAAGCAAACAAGCAATTGCAAGCTAGTTAGCTTTGTTTTGAAGTTGCCAGCTAGTAATATTTAACCATAGATAAGTCAAAAAGCTCTTTGTACAAATTAGGCAAGAATATTAAAGCCTATTTCCAGAAGGAATAACAGAATAATAGAATAACAGAGTTGGAAGGGACCTTGGAGATCTTCTAGTCCAAACCCCTGCTTAGGACAGGAAACCTTACACCACTTCAGATAAATGGTTATCCAATTTCTTTTTAAAAACTTCCAGTGTTGACGCACCCACAACGTCTGAAGGCAAGGAAGATGGGACAGGAAAGTTCTTAAGGCAAAAAGGTCACTCAGCAGGATAACCTATATTCTGTAGTTAGTGCAACTTCTGATTTGCTGGGATGAGGAATCATTAAAACTCATGGGTAGGAAGCTCAATAACTTTTAACAGTTCTTGGTCTGACCAAGAAAATTAGAGAGCGTTTACTCTTCCTGCTAGATGTTTATCCCATCACTTTTAAGGTAACCCTCTAAGTCAAAGGTTCTTGTTTTTCCATCAAATTAAGCTAGACTGCACTGACATACTGAAGCACAACTATACAAAATTGATCAGAATTTAAACAATAGCAAAAAATCAAAGATAAGCTTTGTTCCTGTAAGCCTGGCATATTCTGTAATTCTTACATTGAAAGTACACAACAGATTACAGAAAATGGCTGTAATTCATTTGATTAATTTACAAATGACAATTAGAATATCAAATGTATGTTGTCTTTTGTAACAATACATACACACACACACACACACACACGTGTGTGTGTATATATGTGTGTGTGTGTGTGTTTGTGTGTATATACATATACAATATATGTATATGTATATACAATAATAAAAAGTAATCAATTGCTCTCACTGGTTATAATACAAAATACAATACACTTATTTGCTTTTCTCTCACTTATGGTCCTATCTACCATCTTTCCTCTTAATAGAAATCAGGAGCAAGCAACTTAGTATCGATGAGAATTTTGGGCTAAAACTCAAATCGATGTAGCTTAATGGGATAATGGAAATTGTGGACTCAAACACTGCTCATCCAAATTCTACCAAGGCTCCTGCCATTCAGTTGAAGGATCTGAATTATTACAGGTGACATAATTTACAAAGAATCTCCAGCTAAATGTTAGTTTTGTGAGATAGCATTTTGGTGCTGATTCTTGAACTTTAAAACATTGCCTACAGAGCTACTTTTATAAAGATTCTGTACTGAAATTTTCATGCTTTTAGATTTAATAAAACATGAAACTAAAGAACAGCTTCCTCAATTTGTGCCCAGTGGCTTCTTAGTATTTTGACATATCTGCTATATAATACAGATTTCTTTAAAAAAAGAAACCAGAAGTTAAAACTTATGTTAATCATCTTCAACAGCTCAGATCCAAAAAATTAAAGTAAAAGTGTTGAAGCAGAGCTAAATGAACAGATGAATAATTCAAAGTACCTAAGGGGACAAGATTTTATCAAAGGAAGCAGCTTTGGAAAGAGAAAATGATGTGAACAACAACCAACAGGAAGGGTGTGGCACACCACTTCCTACAGTGTGCTATTTCAGGAGTAGATAGCTTGATTCTGTCTTAATAACAATAGGCAATATGCTAGATTAGCATTCCTGAGATTAGTGTCCTCCAGATGTGTTTGATTGAAAGGCCCTTAATCCCTGGTCATCATTGTCCTAAGAGTTGTTCAAGAAGTACCCACATCTTCCTAGGTATTGCCCATACTTCCAAAAAACATGTAATCATGAGAGCCACTGAGGAAAGGATTAGCAGTTTAAGGACAATTCTTTTAGCTAGAACTGCATACTGCCCCCCAGTTAAACTATAAAGCTTGGAAACATGTGACCACATTTTGGGTGCTCAGCAACTGGCCCATATCTACATTCCATGGTCGTGTGACTGGCATTTACAATATTTTTACTAAAAACTGGCATTTATTTTCAATTTTCAGCAAACATGCCCCACCGCCAATAATGAATTTGCTTAAACAATCATGGCATTAATAACTACCACAGAAAAAAACTGTAAATTTGGGACAGCCACAAGATTACAACTGCCATAACATGATAACAGGTAGGCTCCATTATGGCTGTAAGTCGAGAACTACTTATATCAGCAACTAGATGTCCGTAAGACTTTAATCTAGCCATGTCATAAACCCTATCAGTATTCTAAAAGTTCCACAACTCTTCCTTCGTAGCATTTTGTCCTATTTGACTTGAGGGACTTTGCTGTCAATCATGATCTAATGAGTTTCTATCCATGCAGCGTCTTGATAAAATACAGGAGGGATTTATCATTGCTTTCTCCACAGTATGAAATGATACCTTTGATGTTTTCACTAAAGTCATCATCTGCCTGCAGCATCACTATTTTCCAATATCAGTGCCTGCTTGATTTAGCTAGGAGAACTTTCACACCACAGGTGATCCTGCTGGGGATATATATATATATATATATATATAGTCTTGTCATATACACCTGTTATTCTCTGCTCATCTGTGTCAGAAACATCCACCTTCACCACAAAGCAGCATTACAGGAACTGGGAAAGGGCAGAATAGCATACTATACCTATAGCATATAACTGCATGATAGTAAAGCATTTCACTTGTTTTCCCACACAGTTACCAGCTATGATCTCCAAGGCCAAAATACAGGAAAGAAAGACTACTATTTCCTTTCTATTATTCTCTTAAAGCTCTTACCTGTGTAAGGATATAACTTCTGTTTGCCTCCTCCATTTTTATCAAACTTGCATTGACATAATCATTGTCACCTTGCTCCAGCTTAATTCGGCTGTGGTCAACTACAGAATGGATAAGAAGCCACGCTATTAAACACTTATATAATATTTAAATTTAGCTAAACAGTTCGTTTCAGATGAAAGAAGAAAGCTCTTTTTGTTTCCAAATATATGTAACACAAAGCAAAACCTTTATTCTTAAGAAAAGTTCCTATACCATTATCAAGTGTTCTTGGGAAAAATATTTAATAAGGTATGACACCATGAGCTAAATGTCATGCCCGATGTTATTTTTTCATTCTACATAAAACACTGATACAATGCCTTCTGTAAAACTTCTCAAAGTGTTTTAAGAAACAAATTTATAGTTAGAAAACAGCAGTATTTTAAAACAAAGGACACAAAACATGTAAGTTAATGTATGAGTGGGAATAGGAAAAAAATCAGTTATCATTCACACAAGGAAACTCTTCAATAAACATCTAAATAATAGAACAGATATTTGCTTCTTCAGAGGGTGGTGGAGATAGAACGCTCCACACAGTGACACAATCAAGAAGAAGGTGTTTTGTAGGAGACATCCAGACTGAGCCCAAGGGAAGGATCAAGTGCACCATCAGTTTTGAGTTCCTTCGTACCTACAAGAGCCCACCTTGAATTCCATTGATTCTTATCTACTGCAATTTGCTTTGACAATTTGTTAAATTGTCACATGTATTTTGCTCTTTTCTGAACCTGGTCCATTTTATAAAAAAAAAATTTCCTAAAGTGTGGTGCCAGAAATGATTATAACACTCAAAGTGGGATCAGATCAATGAAGGATAGAGTAGTTCAGATTCTTGTAGAGAGCTTTCACATGCAATAAATCTATACTCCAGCACGGAATGTATATAACATTCAACAACAAAATAGCTCTATTTTGTCCTAGTTGCAGCTTCTCAAACAGGTACATGAATGGTACCATGTAGAATGCTTTACAGTAAGCTAAATGTTGGATTATCAGCACATGGGTTATATTAGTTAAATTACCTGTAACCAGGAAAACCAGATGAAGCCAACCATGGATGCTCCTAGCAATATATGGGCTCTAGAAATACTGCAGAAGAACCTCTACTTTTTTTTTGTTGATTGTGTATAATCTTATTTAGAACAAGCATAATACAGAGAGACATAGAGATATGTTAATATAGAATTTACCATCTTATATGCAGGATTTTATAATCTTTTCCATAAACCATTGCTTTCATTCTCAGGAGAAACTGAAATCTCTATCATAAAAATACTTAATTGCTTCACCTAAATTGTCATATATATATATATTGTTATATATATATGTATACTGTTATATATATATATATACTGTTCAGTTAACATTTCTTAGAATCCAACCCACCGATTATCAATATTCAAAGCGGTCTGACAGTTTTAAAGATCTAAAGTTTGTTCCCTTTAGCCGACCTAGATATAAAAGAATAGGGATTTTACAGGAAAACCAAACTGACTGGAAGCCATTTTATCTAAAACAAACAAAATCAATGGCGGTTACCATAAAAAGAATCTCTAGAACTGATCAGTAAGCAAAATTATGTGCAACACTATAGCATGTATTGAGTTTTCCTGGAAGGCTCAACAGATTTTAAGTCTATTAAATGATTGTAGAGATATTCTAACATATGGAGAAGAACAGATTGGCAATCTGAGTGTGTAGCACAAATGACAATCAAAGTAAAGCTCCTGAGTAGATGACTGTAACACTTGGAGATGAGCAGATGCAAAAGAAAACCAGGGCCGTGATGTGAATGTGAGACAAAATTTTAACCACAAGTATTTGATTTTTAAATCCCCTTTCACCATCTCCCACCCACACTCATTTTTTAGGATTTAATGAGAACATCTTTGTAAGCTTCCCCCACCCCACTTTGGAATTAATTGCCATATGTCATAGCCACTATTTCTACATAACACCCTTCCAGATAGCTGAAAAGACCCCTATGGGTCTTTTCAAAGTTACAAATTTCTAGTTTTCTTGTTGATAGATTTCAGTTTCTTAATTGCTCAGTCAGCCTTATTGCTCTTTTTGGGAATCTGTTCCATTTTATCAAAATATTTCCTATGTGGTGCCATAAATGGTTATAACATTCAAAGTGGGAACAGACCAATGAAGGATACAGTGGACCTATTGTCTCCCGTTTTTGTGGGACCTATATTTTCTTTAGTGCAATCTAAAATTGGTCTTTTTACCACATATCCCAATGCCAACTCACATTTAGTGCATAGCTGACTATAATCCCAAGGTATTTTTCTGATATATTTGAAGATTTTTAATTGTTACCTTTATAGTAATGGCCATTTCAACCTCCTTTCCAAAGCCTTGCATATTTCATGCACATTTTGGTCTCTTTTTGTTGTGCTTTTTGTATTGTATTTCTGCTCTACCATGAGATAATTCAGAGCAGCAAGCCATGATCCAGGTGTGTAAATTCTTCTACATAGGATTATTTTATCTAATCTCTGAATATAAATGACTCTCTACAATTACACAACTCACTCCTGGATAGTGGTTTTTCAGAAACCCTGTTTTGCAATTCCCAGAACCTCATCTGATTATAATTGCAAGAAATTGGCTGCCAAGTTTCCGAGATTTTTGGAATAAGAAATACAAGGGCTGTACTGTAAGCCCTAAAACAAGTTTAACATAACAAAAAGAATGCAGTGAAAAAAAATCTTCTTGATCCCTAAAATAAACTTAACATAACAAAACATGCAGTGAATGAAAAATCTTCTATCTCAGAAAGTCCTGGCCCACAAATTTTCATGAGGTGGCTCTACTTACTTGACATCTCATTCAATGGGGACTTCAGTAAGACATATTAAGTAAAGCCTACCTAATCCTAAAAATGTTACACTTGTCTTACATACACAATTGACCCCAAAGTTAGTGAGACATTTGCCCCCTTTTACAACCTTTTTGTCACAGTCGTTAAGTGAATCACTGCAGTTGTTAAAGTTAATTAATAACACGGTTGTTAAGTAAATCTAGTTTCTCCAGATTTTGCTTGTCAGAAGGTCACAAAAGGTGATCACATGACCTTGTGACACTACAGCCATTATAAATAGGAGTGACTGAATTTTGATCAAGTGACCATGGGAATGCTGAGATGGGTATTAATGTGAAAAATGGTCATGTCACTTTTTCAGTGCCATTGTAACTTTGAATAGTCACTAAATGAACAGTTGTAAGCTGAGGGTTACCTGTACTATAATGCTAATTCATAGATTGGTATTACATTTGAAAAACCCTTTTCCTTTGAAAAATTATATTAGAAAAATAATAATGCTATATCTGGAAGTTGAGTCACGGCAACTGGACTTCCATTTAGTTGCCACGACACAACTTTAGTTTACTTTAGTTTACTTTATTTTCATTTCACTTCGTACAATGAAATCAAACATCTTCAGTGTACATCATGGCCATGAAAATAAACACAAACATACACCCCTCACATTCCACATATTGAACCGAAAACCCGCAACACTGCACTAACACTGCACTATACAGTAGAATTCAAAAGAGCTACTGCCCTGGGATATAAGCTATTTTTCAGATAACTTTTCAGATAACTTCCAGATAACTCTACCTGGATGACTGAGAATCTTCACTGAAAACAATGCTACAGTTTTTGTAAGTAAATTGAGAAGGTCACAATACTTACAGGGGCTGACATCTCTGTACCTGTTGCGATTTTTGTTTTTCGGGTGTTTGGCCATTTTACATGGAAAGTCACTGGCTTCATGTTTAATTTCCTAGAAGTAAATAAAAGAAGATATTGGTATATGCTAAGACTTGTGCATATTACCACCTGAGTTGAACTGTTGGTTCAAAAAAAAAATCACTGAGAACTAGTGGCTTATCACCACACATAATTCTGTTTTCTCTTAACAGTTGCTGTGCAAAATTTCCAAATAATGACAGTTTTTAAGATTAAAAATGGCAAAGATTCAAGGCATGTATTACAGACTAGCAGCATATGTCATTACTGAAAATAAATTTGGAAATTTTTGAGAATGTTAAAAGAAGGGTATCATGTTTCATTGGATTTACAGCATGAAATACAATTTTACTGCTGAAATTAAAAACAAGCATCAAAATGTGTATTGGGGCAGCACAAAGACCGACATGCAAGTAGAGCAACTGAACAAGGCTATCTACAGGAACACACATGTTTCTTGATATCCTACATGCCACCCTTTCATATATGCATATTAACAGCTAAAGGCTACAAATGCCTGGTTAAGATAAGAGCATAGGTTTCCTTGAGTCATCAGCAAGCTACACAGGAGCTGTAAATGTTAAAAGGATGAGGCATATTGTACTTCACAGCAACAGTAGAGTTATTACAGCCATCCAATTTGACATTGATCATTCATTTCTCTGGCAACTCACATAAAATCCAACATTTGCTGTAAATAACATTCTAACAAAAGCTATGTGCAGGATCAATCAAACCTGTACACTGTATGTCAGGAACTTAAAAAACAAACAAACAAACAAAGCATGTATAACTTAAAAATGCAGGGATTAAAAATAAAGAGAAAGAGAGAAGTTATAGGATTTTCACTTGAGATACTTTTTTCCCACTAGACTTGGAGTGAAGCCATTCTTTAACTTATACCGTTAAGTAAATAAATGCAATATGCATAATTAAATAAATGTGAGACAGCTTACACTAAAGCCATGCAAGTTTGGATTTTTCCATAGCCCAGGGGAGAACTTACAGCCCTCCAAGATGATGCTGGACTACAACCATGTATGTTTTTTCTCCATCCTCTTAAGAGTTAATCATTTTAGCATTCATTCTCTTTTTAATCTTTGAACTGTGCCTTTAAAATTTATGAGCCATGTTGAGTGCTCATTTGAGCAGAGACAGAATATAAATCAGAGATCCTGCTCCTAGACCAAATGGACACTGCTGGCTGCAGCTGAAGTTGGAAAGCTCAAGGTTTCCTTACTTCTACTGTAGCCTCCTTAAATATAAGATACAGTATTTCGTGCCAGATCAAAATCCAGTTCTTTTTCCGTCTCCATATTCTAGTCAAGTTACAGTACTAAAACTAAAGGATGCTTTGAAAAACCTCTCAGACACAAGTGCATTGAAATTTTCTGACAGAGAATGGTCCATGTTTCTTGCAGGGACTGGGAAAATGCCGCTATTGAAGGAAAAACAACAACAATAACAGACCTTGGCCCACAAGAAGTGACCAAAAAAATTAGTGTAACAGTTTCTCAAGAGGGTAGTTGCCAGCTTATTATAAAGATCCACTGCATGAAACTGATTTTCCAGAAAATTTCAAATTAGTTTCAGGCCTGATTTTAACATAGGAATAGACTGGATGGATCTTTTCTTCTCTGTTAGCTTTAAGCTATTTTTAGCCTTTTGAGATTGTATGAGTGCCTTTTTCTGATTGTATGAATACTCTATATCAGGGGTGTCAAACTCAAGGTACAGGGACTGGATCTGGCCTGCGGGATTCTTAGATCGGACCCGCGGGGTGCCCTGGAAACATTGAAGGACTGGCCCGTGGTGTTTCTGCCAGTGAAAATGTATCTTTCAAGAGCTGTGCATGGCACTCCGAAGCTCCATTTTCACTGGCAGAGGGTTGCAGGAGGCCATCCTTGCCAAAAATGGAGCCTGGGAGCCACTTTCACTGGCAGAGCACTCAGGCCACTACAGGCACCCCCTTGATACAAGTGACATCAAGCTGGCCACACCCACCCTAGCCACACTTCCTGCCCCCCCCCCCAGGTCAAACACAACCCTGATGCGGGCCCCATGAAATCAAGTTTGACATTCCTGCTCTAAATCTACCATTATTAGAATGGTTCTGAATGGTTTGATTTCTTATGCTAAATCACCTTAGGAATGCTATTGTAGGGTAGCCGACATACTGGAAACAAATGAACGAATACTAAACACATGCTTACAAACAGGAGCATAATATATCCTTGAAATAATAGTATAGGGACATTGCCAAATCTAATCTACTTTTTAAAACCCAGCCGGTGTAGGACAAGACTTTTCTAGTTTCATATCAATTTCTTTTGCAAAGCACTTTTCCTTGGTATTGCTTGGGAAGATAATTCTCAACTTTTGTCTTATTAGCTTTATAGAAGGTTTCATAGTCTCTGGATAAGGGCATCCTATTACACCCTTTACAAAAGTTAAAAGAACAAATCTGTTTGCTTTTTCAATTCACCAGGTATGTTTAAAACATGACACAAAACAACAAAGACGATCCATTTCTGAGTGGCACAAAAATAAACAAAGTTGCCTTCCTGGTGAAATGGGCATTGTATACATTTAATAAATAATAAAATAAATATTCAAAGATAGAGCTCACAAATGACCAATATTTGCACTTTAGCACATGTTGTCATTTCCAAAATATAAGCAGTTCACAGATTTTACATGTGTGAGAACTGTGCAGCCCTCATTTTAATGCAGAGTATAAAATCAATACATGATCCAATACATTAATGGAGGGATTTCTGATGAGCAAGCAGGATAATTCAAATATAATCAGTCGTGGTTTTAATCTTATCTAGCACACCCTGGCAGAGATTTATTCTCTATTCCCATTATAATAGCCTCAGTAGTCTTAAGGGGGAAAAAATGGTGCATTTTCCATACAGTATCGGAAGCAGAAGTCTTGTTCTTCTTCTTTTCCTTAAGTTATTTCAAGTGTTCAATACTTATGCAGTTTGAGGATGAGTAATAGGATATCAACAGCCTTATGTGCTTGAATCATTTAAGAAAAATAGGTTTATTAGCAAGGACAGCATATGAGTGGGTAGGAAGGGTTGACTGATCACTGTGGCGTTCGGGAAAGACTGAGCGGAAGTCTTCACTCCGGTCCGTGTTTCCAGCGGGAACACGGACCGTTCCTATTGGCTGATGCCGTTTGACAGCCGGCTATAAAAGGAAGCTGTCAAACGGCATCAGCTGTTGTCCGCCAGCTGGCTGCCTTGTTAGTGCGGCAGCTGCGGCAACCCTTTATCGTTACAATAAAGTAAAAGCTGAAGTTCGCTCCGTGTTCACCTCAGGTTATTCCGCCGCTCTACAACAATCACTATTTCCCATCTCCTCTGCCTTTCTTGTAAGACTAAAATGGAACAGCTTTCCATTTCGCTCATGAGTAAAGGAGTCTACTTATAGTATATATAAAGGGGGTTTAGATCAAGAATGAAGGGAGCAGAAATGAACATGGCAGTGCCATCATCCTCTTATCAAGTCTTTCAGATCCACTATAATGGACTACTACATTCTTGGGAGTCTAAAGAGTCATGGAAACTGGATCAAACTTCATTAATCTGAGACATTTCGTTGCTCATCCAAGCAACTTTATCAGTCAGAGCAAAATTAGTGAGGCAGGGAATCAGACAGTTGTTGGAATGTACCAACTCTTGTCACACCAATGTCAGGGGTTTCCCCCCAAAATGGGGGAATGAATGAATAAAGACTCAAACATCCAGGCCAAAGGTGTCTAAAGGTGAACTCATGGCAACTGGACCAAACTTTGTTAGTCTGAGGTGTTTCATTGCTCATCCAAGCAACTTCATCAGTCAGAGCAAAATTTGTTAGGCAGAGAGTTAGAGTTGGAATGTACCAATTCTTGCCATAGCAACTTCAGGAGTTTCTTCCCAAATGTGTTGCAAAATGTCAATGAAGACTCAATCATCCAGGTCAAAGGTGTCTAAATGTTGAATCATGACAAATGTGGGAGCGCTGAACATGCTATTTTTTTAATGTTGCAATGTTTTTTTTATTTTATTTTTAAGTGGCTAATTTTGTTAATTAGTAAGAATGAAATTCAAGTCTCAGCTCCTAGAATGGGTGGTTGAATCAGGAACTAGATCCTTATAGCTTTGACTTCCAGAGTGCCCCTGAATGTTCAGGTTAATTTCCCTGTATTCCTCAACCCAAGAATATTAGAGAAAAATATGGTGACTTAAGTCTTGAACCCCAATTTAGCAGTCTTTCTCTTTCCTCAAACTTGGTGTACTCCAGAAGTATTGGGATTATATCTCCCAAAATTTACAGTTACTACAATCATCACATGTGAGGCAATGAAGATTAAGAATAAGTGAACTAGGATGGGAAGAACCAGCAATAACAACAATAACAAAACCGCAAACTCAAGACAACTGAAAGATATTGCATCCCTACTTATTTTTAATTCTGTCTTCTGTTTCTGTATTCTGTCATTCATGTTTTTTTGGATTAGAAAATGCAATTTATGGGCCAATTTGTGGGCCACATTCCAGCTTATCATTGTTTCTCCACTTGGTGTGGATAAATTTTCTATAAATATCATATTGTCCAACCAGGAATTTCCTTTAATCAGGTCGTCATTATTTGCATTACTGAGGCTGACAAAGATTTCATAGGAGTTACAGTATGTGGCTCATGTTATAGCGATGTGAGATTTTGCTAGAATGAGGCCAAAGTCTGCAAAGGAGACTATAAAAAAAAAATAGGCCAAACTTTTTTTATGTAATCCTGTTCTAGAATTACTACATTCAAAATGGCTTTTCGAAAGACTGCTACGCAAATAAGTTTGTTGAACAAATGAGAAGTACTACAAATAGCTCTCCAGTTACGATACGACTAGTTGCTTAGCAACCAGTTGTAGCAAATCCCCAAAAAGGGACTTATGACCTGGACTTAAAGCACATGTGACTGCATTTTAGGTGCTCAGCAAGCAGTCTGAATCTATGCAGTGCCCTGAGGTCACAGTGACCACAA